GCGCGGGGGGGGGAGGCGTTGCGAGCTAAACTTATCCTCCTGCATATGCATGAACGGGTGGCCTTTCCGCTAGGCAAAGGAGAGGCCCGGAGCTTTGCAGAAGGCTGTTAAGTGGAGCGTGAGCGAAGTAGGGCGTCGTGCAAGTTTTCGCCCTGGCCGGAGTCCCCCGTCCGTCTCCAGTCCCCGAACATTAATTGTCGTTATGGCCACGGGTGTATCACCAAATAGGGCTTTACCTGATTGTATTTCAAATCCAGGAATTCCGCCATTGTTGGAAGCCGGCTCCCTTCTGCCCGCCCCCTCCTCTCCAAATTCGCCTTCTAATTCCTGGGTTTACACTAAAATGAGCATTGCTTTCCCCCAAATTTGCCCTGTGAGCCTAGTCGGGGTCGCTCTAGCCGAAGGGCCTGGGCCCCGAAAGAAGTCTGGATCAAGCCCAGAGGAAGGTCTGACACGTGATCCCTTACCCCCAGCGAGCCATCTGTTCTCTTTCCTTCCCGCCTGGAAGCTGGCAGCTCTGCCCAGCACCGTCCACGCCTCCCAGTAGGAAAGAGTGAGAAGAGCCAGAGTTGGCGGAACCCTGTGCCTCCCCAGTGCGATTTTAACCTACACCTCCCTGGGCCTTGGGCCGGAATGAGACCTGGCAATAAGTATTTTAAATTAAACTCCGAGGATTACTTCTACCCTGGCTAATTGGGGAAACTGCCTTGGGCTCAGGTTGAATAAAAGTCTCCAGGGTGGGGCCTTGGAATGGGCTGCATTCAGCCTAGAAATACCTCACGTTGGGCTCGGGTGGAAAACTTATCTAGAAAAAAGGATGGTATTCTCCGAGCCCTCTACGCCACTTCCCACAAACTAGCTTGGAGAAAGAGACCATGAAATTAAAGAAGAAAGTTGTTAAAGGATTTTGATCAAATTTAAATTTATATTTGTGCCTGCCATCCCATTAAATATTGATGTAAAGTATTCTGACCTTCACTGCCTTGTAGATGCACAGCAAATGAGGTGGTGTTGAAAGAACCCAAGTCTTGCCCAGTTTTTTCCCTAGTTTTTTTATTCCTGGAATATTTGGATTTTGGAAGGGACTATGGAGCTTTTATTAATCTAATCTCATCAATTAATTAACAAATAAGGAAATAGCTCTACAAGGTCGCCACAGTTCATCTCACGCCCAGGAGGCTACTGTTCTGGAGAACTTGGATAATAAAGCAAAGGCTTAGGCAGAACTTAAGGAGGAAAATGCATACTTACAAACTAGAAACACTGTTACAGTCTTTGACTTCTCCTACTCCCAGTTGGTTACATGGATTTGAAATGTATATTTATAAAGACTAACTTTGGGGAAAACAGACCTCATATTTATGTGGTGTAATACGTATATTTTACTGGTAAATTATTTATTGTAATTAGGAATGATTCATATTAATTTGGGATAATTTATTCTGCCAGAGTTTTAATTAGGACAAGCACATGCTGGCAAAATAGCACAAGTTGGTTTTAATAATAAAACTTACATTATGCATCCCAACACAGCAAGGAAACCTGTTGTATAAGAAAAAAATTCTGATGTAGGAATTATTACTTGTGATATATATATATATACACATATATATTTATAAGTTAATATATATAATAACTTGTAAGCCTGAGGACAGAGTGCCATTTTCTTTCTGCATTTCCCCATGCCTAGCTTACTGACAGGAACATAACTATATGAGGAGCGAATGGGTGGAAAAGGAGGAAAAGAAGAGAATAGTCTGCAATTTTAGAATTGTTGGGTTTAAAAAGATACTCTAAATCAAGCAGAAGTTATGTTTGTAAATGTGAGAGAAATTCATGTGTATGAAATCTCAGTTTTCTTTTTATTCCTTTTAAAACTGAAATAAATGAGTTGGAAGAGTTCAGGATGTATGTCTAATTCAATCAAAAATAAAAGAAATTAAAGACAAGAAGTAGGGAGGGGAAAGTTTATGTTTAAAAAACTATGATGATTGATTTATTCAAGTTCCTGGATTACGATCTTCAAGGAAAGATACAGATTTTCCTTCTTTTCTGGAATATCCACAGTATTAACTCTAGGGCTGCCTGAAGGTGCCCAGTGCAATGCCAATTGCAATGCAAGTCTGAGAGACTGCACAGGCGATGGTCATAGCGATCCTGGAGAGATCCCTCTCGTATTTGTGGTGGACCTTAAAGAGGCAAGCAAAGGTGCAATTACTAAGTGATCATGTATCCTTGGGGACAGAGTTTGTCCCAGAAAAATCATGAAGTAGGCAAATTCTCCTGGGCTTTAGTGGATTTCTTTTTTTCCTAAAATTAAGGGGGTTGGAATACAAGAAACCTAAGATGGCTTCACTTTTACATGCTATGATGTATGTACCTATCTTACTGTGATGGTGATGGTGATGATGATATTCTTGGTTGACCAGCACCACCTTTTTATACTTCCCTTTCCCATGTAGTCATCTACTGCAGAATCTTCCTTTACCACTTCAAAAGCAAAAGCAAAATAAACTACACTAGCCTTCAGACTGGGAGGGTTAATTCGAGATCCTTTCTGTAGAGACCAAGAACTTGGTGTTACTTTCCCAAAACTTAACAAATGTAACAGCCAGTGGGAGTCATGGTTGGACCTCACTGGATCTGCATCACATAGAAGCAGGTACCTCTCACACCCAGTTAGGAAAGTGAATGTATTTTTAATCAGTTGTGCTGACAGTAAGCCTTCTGCAAGAGACATTAGCCCTAGATTCTTTTCTGAGCTATCAAGATGGAAAACAACCCCATCATTCATTAAGAGGGAGAGGCAAACTGAGTTAATCAGACTCTAAGACCCATACTAATTGTTGATCAAGTAATGCCACAATATTCAATGGCTAAGGATCTCTGGCTGCTTACAGTTAAGAATCTGTTTAACATAGTTAATATTTCACAAAACAAAAGAGCTCAGTTGTTGTAAAGCTCAAAGAGCTAGAAATCAGGAGATCTATGATTTCAACTGAGTTCTGTCACAATCTACCTGATAAGGTAGACAAGGCACTTCTCTGTGTCCCTAGTCTCCACATTTGTAAGGTGAGGGAGGGAAACATGCCCTAACAATCATGCAGGGATCTGAGGAAAGAAAATGAACTAAGAATGATTTGTTTTTCTTTAAGTTACAGAAATGAGGGATTTTGTCTCCATTTATTTGAAGGTGGATTACAACAGCTTAAAAACAGACTAAATTGCACTAGGGAAGGAAAGGAATTTGGAGGTATCACAAAAGCAGTGATGGGGTATTTCAGTGTAAGAATTGCCAAACAATAGGACGACTGTACTTTAAAACAGAACTTTGTCAGCTTTGCATTTTTAAGATGAATTAGTCATAGTTCGTGTACTGGATGGAAGGACTATTAAAAATCTTTCCAAAAGTGTGCTGCATCTCAAAACTGGGGGAAAAAAAAGAAAAAGAAAAAGGAATTGCTGCTTTCTTCTTTGTGTTTATAGACTCACATTGCATTTACTCACCACCTCCACCCTTCCATACATTTCTCAATTTTACTACTAACAACACAAAATGCAAGGATGTGTCCAGTTTCACTACAGCTCTAAGCATTTACAAGTGTTGAGCGCTGGCTTTCGGAGCGCCCTTCTGATTGGCTGAGCCAATGTCAGTGACATCAACCGACTTACTTTTGATTGGAAGGCTGGTTGCTGGGACTGTAGCGTTTGCAGGAAGTCACTTAACTATTTGCGAGCTGGAAAACCGAAGTTTTCTTTTGTCGTAAGAAGGGGCGCAACTGGCTAGGGAAGGTGTGTCCCACAGCCTCAGCAGCTGGGCCGCGAGCCGGGAGGCCCGGGCCGCCCCCGGACCTAGAGGGGAGCGGGGGCCCCTGCCCAGCCTCCGGGCTGTTACCCTTTTAAATGTCAGCGCCCGTCGGTGGGGGTAGCACGAGGCGTCGGAACGGAACGGTCGGATTGGCCGCACGCCTCAGCTCTAGACGCACCTCTCCCCCAAAAGGCCGTTCTGACTGGCAGCGGGAGAAAGTAAACAGAGTTGAATCACCCTCCCCACTGGCCAATTGGAGGGGGTTTAGATTGTGACGTGATGGGATTCTGCGAAATTGTTACTGAGCAAGAGAATGCCGGAACGGTGCGGACCGGCACCCGCGGGGGCTCAGGAACCGTCAGGGGGCTGGGGGAAAAGTGTCCCTTAGACGTGGCGCTCGGTCCGACCCTTGCCACCCGCGTCGGGGTGGTCGGGTGAATGTCCTGGGTCTTCGGCTCCACGGAGAGGCGGAGGAGGGCGTGTACCTCTCTTGCAGTTTCCTCTCCCAGCGCCTCGGGGGCGTATTCAGTCGAAAAAACTTGCGACCGCCACGTGTGGCACCTTTCCAAGGAAGCCGGCTCGGAGCGGTGGGCGCGCCCGTCGGGGGCTTCGCGCC